CCCCTTCCCCTTCCCCTTTCTTCCCTTTCCCTTTCCTTCTCCCTCTCCCTATTCCTCTCCCTTTCCCACTCTCTCCCTTTCCCTTCCTTCCTCCTTTCCCTTCCCCCTTGCCTCCATCCCCTCGTGTTCCCTTTCTTTTTCCCCTTTCCTCTTCCCTTTCCTTTTAACTTTTCCCCTTTGCCTTTTCTCCTTTCCCCTTCCCTGTCCACTTTCCCCTTCCTTTTTCTTTTCACTGTCCTTTTTTTCTTTCTTTCCCTTCCCTTTCTTTTTCCTCTCCTTTTCTTCCCCTCTTTCACTTGCTCATCAGTTAAGAAATAAAGGCACACTCTTGCTTGATCAACACCATGACTCTGTTTGAGTCTTAATTCAGAGGGACTGGGTTCAGTACAATGAACCACAAGCCTCTTCAATTTGAAACAGAAAGGAAGGAAGTCTAAATCCAGCCATGTATTTTGTGGTTGGCTTCAGTCAAGTTTCCTAAGTCTCATCTGGGCTTCTTTTCTCAGAAATGAGAACAAAGGTACTGCTGTAGCAGCAGAGTCTTTCACAAGCATGAGTAAAACTGAACATGTTCCTAATCTTCTTCCTGTCTTCCCAGTCTCACTGAAAGTAGACAGAAACAAGGAAAGAGTTTGTTCAGAAGAAACACAACAAGCATTGAAGGACTAAATATTTAACACGGAAAACCAGAGTTGAATTTTGAAACCTCGTGTTGTTCTGGGAGTCCCAGAGTAGTGCAGCACAAGGAGCTGTACTGCAGAGCTTATTTTCCCCTGCACCTATGAGAAGTCCCTTCCCTACTTTGTTCATCATGTCCATATACATACATGGCCCAAGTACATATGCTCACATGTGCACACTGAGGCCAGGAGGGATTTCTGTTGGGGTCTCCAACAAACAGGGTATGGAGGATGGCTGGGCAAGAACACTTGAGTAATTCATTGGTTTGAGGGCTGTAGAGGACCTGTCATGTCCTGCTGTGCTGGGACAGCCCTGAGTGTCTCAGAGTACCCGACAACTAGCCCAGCTCTACACTCTCCTGCTTCTTTTCCCACCCTCAAATTTCCTGTTCCTATGGGCTCCTCTGCCCTCTGCAAATCCCTTTTTACAGCTCTGTCTCAGACTTCCTCTCAGAGGTCCAGGCTGGAGCACCTGAGAAAAGGTGGAATGGAAAGAGAGTGAAGAGAGTGGATGTTTAAACTGTGTGGAGTTGGCTGTGTTCCCTAAAAACGTGGAACCAGTCAAAACCATGATACTTGCCAGGGCTTGGTCCCCTTAGGTTTCCCATTCCTTGGCTGCAGAGGTCCTAAGGGGATTTCTGGGTTCCTGCTGAATCAGATGAGCATAAAGAAGAGAGATTCACTGCTTTGCCAAGGAGAACCAGCAGCTTGGTTCCTACTGAGTCATGCACATGAGTTTTAGCAGATGAGTTGGAGGAACTTGAACCATGTGCTCCAAACCTTTACTGTCAACACATCTGGGTTCTTACTGCTCAGATTCCTGTAGGGCCCCTGTTGTTTGGTTGGTGGGCATGGGGTGTTGGGAGATCCTTTCCGCATGAAGTTGGGAGTGGAAGACTAGGATGTTGGGCCGGAGTTCAGGAACAGGGGGGGGCACCTCTGCCTTGGGCTGCCTTGTCCAAGAGGACACAGGCTCAGGAGGTGCTGTGTAGAAGTTGCAGCTCTCCAGCACCAAGAGATATGGGGCCACTGGGAGGCCAACTTACCACCTTCAGGACCAGCTCTGAAGTTCCAGCAGAACCCTGCAGCTCTTCCTTAGGGGGAGGTCTCCAGCATGGTCCTACAGCAGCATGTTACGTGTTGCCAAACAGAGATGTTACTGTCCTCATTTGCAGAAGGCAGACAGGGAAAATATAGGTAAAATCATTATGTAGGCAGAGACAAGTTGGAGAGCTGCGAGACAGAGTGTGTCCAGTCACACGGACTCTTGTGTGTGGCATCAGTGTCCCACATGGGAGGAAAGAAGAGGGTGATGCACCTCAACTGATGTATCTCACCTACAAGCCATGCACAGCCCTGTCGACCTGTGCTGATGGAATGCAGTCTAATCTGTTGCCTAGCTTAACTCCTCCACCAACCCCTGCGGATCATTGTGGTAACAGCTCTCCTCTGGTACGGTGAGTTAGGTGCCTCCATCCAAACTGTTGCCTCCACAGTATACAGACACACAGAGCACAGGGGCATGTACTTCAGCTGCTACTCACACATCTTGGGCCATAAGTATGTGCATTTGGACATTTATTTGCCCATGGGGCACTACAATCCATTTTGCAAAGTGATGGAGAATGGGCTAAAGTTCTATTTGCATGTGAGAAGTGCTTGCATTTCCTGTGTGGTTGCATAGCAGTTAAAGGGGCAGAAGAGTGGGTTCCTCAACACTCCAGCTTGTCAAAAGCAAAGATATTTGCCACCACAGTGCAAAAACTATCCACTTAACTGGCAAAATCAGAAGAAACTCCCTGCCTTCCAGGGAAAGGGGTGGGGGAAGAAAAGTGCCATCTCCCTCCTTGAGAGTCTTGACTGCCAGTACCTGCTGTATTCCTCTCTCATTGTTGCCAGCTTGATGCAAAGAGATGGGTTAAGGTCTTGCACTGTTCCAATGCCATTGCAGCGCCCCTCCAGGATTTCTCTCACCCTTTCCTACTCTTGGGGCAATCACAGCTTTTTCTCTTGCAGCCGTCAATGGCGGGTGGCTGGGAAGCAACGTGTCAGGAAATCCGCAGTGCACAGAGGTGGTGAAATCATCTTCCAGTGCAATACGAGTGGAAGCAACATGTACACACAGCACGGAGAGCTGCGCGGGAATCAGCCCAGGGCCCGCAGCTCCGAGTGCCGCGGCGCCGCGCTCCGCCTCCGCCCCCCGCGCCGCCCCGTCCTCCGCCGAAGGGGCCGCG